CTCCTTGGAGGCAAGGATTCTGGGGCTTCCTCTGACATACTTTGGACATGTTGTAAGGAGAGACAGGTCTTTGGAGAGGGGCATCATGCTGGGTAGATTGGAGGGACAGTGCAGGAGCAGAAGACCCTCTATGAGGTGGAGTGATTCAGTGACTGGGGTACTCGGGATGGGTTTGTCAGAGGCAGTGCAATTGGCACAGGATAGAACACAGTTTAGGGCTGTTGTACATAGGGTCGCTATGAGTCACAAACGACTCGACGGCACATAACAACAACAATAATAATAAACCCCAACAGCAACAGCAGTGCCTGAGGTTAGGGAGTTGTGGTGTGTGACGTCCTGTGCTGGGATTCACAGCCTCAGAAGTACAATGCACTGTCAGCTGTGAGTCTTCTCCAGCTTGATGGCCGTGGAAAGACACTTGCTGTTCTAATTTCCTGGGGAATTGGTGTTCAGATCATGTGAATTTGGTTGGCTTTGTGTCGGGTGTGTCTGGAGTAAATGTCTTTGAGGTGTAAAAGAGATTTCCCTGCTGCCCGTGGTGGTGGTGTTTTCTGCTGGGTCAGAGCCCACCCCCAGCTGATGTCCAGCAGTCCTCAGTGCAGGACATCGCATGAGAGGAGCTTGCCCACGTCTCTGCTTCAGAGTGCTGTGTGTGTAGATCGCCTTAGCGATTTACTGCCTCTGAAAACCAGCTGGAGGGTCAGCTATCCACAGCATACATCACAAAGATCAGGTAGCCTGGTGGTAAGAAGCTGCGCTGCAATCCCAGAGGCCTGTGGCTCGAATCTACCAGCTGCTCCACAGGAGAAGGGTGGGCAGTGTCCTCCCTTGCAGTGTACAGCCTCTGTAAAGAAATGATTATAACCTTCTCATGAATCTAGTTGAAAGATCAAGATTCTCCTGGGCTACAGATCACTTTGGTGCTTAGTGCTAGGGAGTTGCACTGTCACCCCAGAGGCACGTGGTTCAAATCCACCGGCCGCTCCGTGAGAGGAATGTGAGCCGTCTCTTCCTGTGTCACTTACTCCCTCTGAGAGCCCCTGGGGGGTCAGCTGTTAGTCGGTTCCAACTGGACGGTGCTCAGCACCACCGTCGCTATTCTCTGTGGGTTTGAGATGCTGGGACTGACTTTTGAAGAGGATCCTCTTGTTTCTGCCAGGATGGCAAAGTGATTTTCCCAGCTCCCACGCCGCAGAATATACCTCAGGGTGCCCCAGTGAAGCCGAAGACGGTGGCAGAGCTGGAAGCGGAAAAGGCGGCCACTGTTACTCCCTTCAAGAGAACCATGACCACGGCTTCCGCGTACACAGCAGGTGAGCGACTGGCCTGTCGGGATTCTGCACTGGTTATTGCAACTTTGTAAATACTAAATTTAATTGTGAAGTACAGAAAATGCTATTGTCCTCATTGGGTTTCTTTAAGGGAGCACTGGTGGTTTAGTCCCTGGGGAATTGTACCACTAACTCTAAGTGGTTCAAATCCACCAGCTTCTCTGAGGGGAACTACACACAGTCTCTTCCCATGCAGTTTACAGCTTCAGAAATCTCTTCGGAGGGTCAGTAACGGTCACTTGAAATTTGAGTCTTTGGATTTCTTTGGAGAGAAGAAAGATTTTTTTTTTAAATAAGCGTGCTAGGATTTGTCTTATTTCTGCAGAATTGATTGGCTGATTCGAGAGACAGGGATGCTGGATTCTGGAATAAATGCATATGCAGCAGCATACAGACTAGTGATTCTGTTTGTGAAAACATTTATCAAATACCTTCAAATTATTTTTATCCACATCAAGTTTATGGAATGATGTTCATCAGAACGTCCTGACTGAAGTGTGGCCATGGTTTTTCTGTGGTTTGTAAAATACCAGTTGTGATTATCTGCCCAGTCAAATAAGACTGCTCCAAGAATAAATAGGGCACGACAGGAAGCCTTGAATGTTTGACTGACATTCTAATTTTTCACCTACTAAAAATTCAGTTTTAAAATTTTCACCCTTTTTATAACTGAGTACAATTTTAAAGCAATTAATGTTCGTGCAACAAAGTAGGGTCATCCTGTGAATTGTTAAGCAGTCTGAAATCCTTGTTATTTGATTCTAAATTGGCTTTTCTCTCCTAGAACAAGTGAAAAATGTGTAGGTCTGCTTAGAGCCCAAACAAAACAAAGAAACCCCAAACAACAGCAGAAACTTGAAGGGATCAAGGAGCAGCAGCGGGTGCACAGAATTCTTGTGGCCTCAGCGTTCGCTGGTCCCATGTGAGCCCAGATGTTTGAAAGCTAAAGTTGTAATTCTCCTTGAATAAAAGAGCAAGTCTCAGCGAAATGTCTGAAAACCCCTAGCTGTGAACATTGTGAATAGATGGGGCAGTGTCCCCGCGTGCCCTTACTTATTAAAGAGCAAGAAACTAGATGACTGTGTTGTATTGAAAAGTTTCATCAGTGGGATTGTAAATTTCCATTACTCTTTGAAGTGTAAGAAAATATAGCGAGGCATATTGTCTATAATTATTTTTCTAACATATGACAGTGAACTTGTTATGCATAACTTAGATTTTTTCCTTTCAATGAAAAAGAAATACTTTTTCCTTATATTTGCGTTAGAATTGTTTGACTAGCATTTTCAGATGTTTTGCTTTTTATCTCTCTTTGTTTTCTTCTGTTATACAGAGTATAGTTAGAGCACATTTGATATTCTAAAAATGATTCCAGGAAAGACATTCCCTAGTTGCTAAGGTGTGTGATTACTGTGCTAAAAAGCCTCACAGGATGGGTTTTGGGGCTTGATAATTTAGTCTTGGTTAATTCAGTGATGACAATAACTGGGATTTGCTGGTGGCTGGACATTATGCTCACCTTCCCCTGTGTTTCTTGCCTCCGTACAAGAAGGCAGCGAGGTGAGTATATTATCTTCCGTCTACAGATAAGGGCAGAGAGCTTAGTAATTCACAGAGGAGAACCCTGGTGCATAGAGAGCTTGAGTTAGTTGAGATTTTACAGATTCTGCAGCGGAGAGACGATTTGAAGTGGGAAGTGTTGATTCCTTGTTGTGTATGGTTGAGTCAGAACTGACCCATAGCTGACCCTCCAGCGAGGTGTGGAGTTTTTGTGGGGTTTTTCCTTTCTTTTTCTGTGTATCAGGACTAGGATCCTGTGAGCATTTAGTAAATCACATGGGAGGAGATTGCCCATCTGTCTCCCATGAAGCAGCGGGGGATTCGAACTGCGTGCCTCCGTGGGGCAGCACAGCTCCTTACTGACTTGGGAGTTCTGTCTTTTTAGTATAACTCTCCATTGTTCCAGTCCACCAGCCACTTTGTGGGAGAAAGACAGGCGGTCTTTTTTCCCATAAAGGTTTCTAGCTTGACCCTCCCCAGTGGATGGTCACCGTGAACTCAGTGGCCCATGACATGAACAGGATTTTGGCTGTTAAATGGGTTTTAATACTGTGTGTTTCTAAAATGTTTGGAACTTTCTAAAATGAGTTTTAGCCAACACTTGCTCTAAATGGATAGTCGAGCATGAATTGGAAATATCAAATATATATTTACAAATCCCAGCTCACGGTCCCTGATCAGAGGGGACTCAGAGCTGACACTCCAGCCAGTTTTCAGAGGCTGTAAATACATGGGAGGCGATTGCCCATCTTTCTGTTAAGGAGCGTCCAGTGGACGTGAACCCTCTGCTTCTGGTTTGGCAGTGCAACTTTTTACCCACTAGGCCACCAGAGCTTAGCATCCAAAAGATGACTGATTAGACTGGGTTGAGTGAAGCTGGAGGGGGCCCGGGTGGAGGCCCACCGTGGTCCTGACATGCAAAACGGTCATCTGACCTGGGTATAGGGGTGAAGGATTAATAAACCCTGGAGTCCTTCACTGGCTCCCCCGGGAGTTTCTCTTGGGGACCTGGGGTTCTCGCAGAGCCCTTGTCCCACACAGCTTTGTCTGGTAGAGTGAGTGATTAGATAGAGATAGGAGTGTGCAAATGAAAAGCACAATCTTCTGACGCTTTAAAGCAAAGTGAACGTCAGTGCCTGGCCATTCCGGCTCTGCTGCTTATCCAGTGTCCGCGTTCACTCCACGGAAGGAGCAATCAGTCCCTTAGTCAGAGTGGTTTTCGTGTGTTCGCTGACCACTAGGTAACCCTTTCTTCTGGGTCAGAGTAGCCCTCCACATGTTTGCTATTAGGAAAGGCGATAATTAAAGAGGTATGCTCAGAGCTGACTGTTTGTGTCCTGCACATTCTTAATTTAATTTGTGTGGGTGGTTTTTTTTTTCTTGCCTCTTTGTAAAATCCGTTTGCTGACTTGGTGCTGAGGCTGGAGCTGACCGCCCTGGCCAGCAGCTCAGTCCAGACTCAGGAGCAAATTGCAAAACTCCTCTCCCGGGTGGGTGGAAGCCACATGTTTTGGGGAGGTGCTGGAGTGAATGAAATCCTTCCTGCTCTCTTAAAACCCTTCTTCCTTGGCCAAATCGGAGAGTGACAGGAGATTGGCTTCGTAATAAGCCCTGGCTCTTGGAGACTGGGTCTTGCCTAAGTAGGAAACGCTCGAATAGATCCTCTATAGACCTATAATTGTGGCCTCACATGGCTAGTACAGACGTCCGTGGACTGTCACTGAGCTAAAACAGGGCAGGGGACGTGCGGCCAGAGAGAAGGTGTACAGCTTGTTGGTTCGGCCATGCGTAGACATTACCTGATCTGTGCCGTTTTCCCAAGGTGCTGAGGAACGTGGGTTTTGTCCATAAAAATCTTGAGCTTCTGCTCTTCTACCCAACTCCTCAGTTCTGAAACAGCTCAAACAGCTGCTTGTTACTGGATCGGGATGGAATGAAAAAGCCACACGTGTGGTTCCTCCTTGAGATAACTGGATGTTGATTCTCACCCTCCCCTCTCTCTCTCTCTCTAGGTCTCACAACCATGCTGGGCTTGGGCATTGCAGCCCCCAACTCGGCCTTTTCTCAGATGGTGACCACATTTGGCCTGGCTGGCATCGTGGGCTACCACACCGTGTGGGGCGTGACCCCGGCTCTCCACTCCCCGCTCATGTCCGTGACCAATGCCATCTCAGGTCTGCCTCTGGGGTTGTCAGTAGCTTGTTCAGCTCTCACGGTTCTGTCAGTGATTTTAGGATTCCCTGCTTTCTGAGCATGTCTCTTGGAACATCAGGGTTTTGTGGGTTAACTGAGGGGCTCCCACAGAGTGTGTACAGTGGGGTTGGGGAAGAAGACTCTTCAGAGGGCTGAGCCTCGAGGCTTCTCCTGATTCAAACTCGGCAGAATCACTGTTACCAAATAGCTGGGATTTCCTTTAAGAAAGAATTAGCACATTTAAGAACTAGGTTTCAAGGAACTGTGATTTGTCACATCCTCTCAGGTTCTTCTTAAATTCAGTTTAATGCTCGGTCATGCAAGATTATTGCTGGTCTTACCTGGCATATTGCACTGGGAAAGTCTGCAGTTAGGGACCTCTCCAAATTATTGAGGAGTAGTGATGTCAGATTGAAGACTAAGGTGGGTCTGACTCAGGCCATGGTCGTTCCAATTACTTGCTGTGAATCTGAGAGCTGGACAATGAATAAGGATGACAGGAAAAGAATTGACGCCGTTGAGCTGTGGTGTTGGAGAAGAGCACTGAACAGCCTATGGATGGCCAAGAGAATACACAAATATATCTTGGAGAAAGTGCAGCCAGGTGCTCTTTGGAGGCAAAGATGATACATCTTCGCCTCAGTTAATTCCTGCATATTGCTAGGGGCTGTGGTTCCTTGGAGAGAAACATGATGCTCAGAAAGGCAGAGGGTTGGTGAAGGAGACGAAGACCCTCAACCAAGTGATTGACATGGTGACTGCAGCGACAGGCTGTAGTGTCTCAGGAAGAGTGAGGTTGGCACAGGACAGGTCAGGGTTCAGAGCTGTTGTTCACTGGGTCGCTAAGGGTCGTACTCGACTCGATGTCACCTGACAACAACAACAGCAACATAATACCTGTTGCTGGATTCCCTGAAGACTTAGTGAGACAGGAAGCACCACTTGCTCACAGGACCACAGTTGGCATCTTCCCTTCATCTGAGTTTTTATAGTAGTCGATCAACACTGTACACAGCCCAGGAGATGTTGTGTTAACCCCTCAGTGATGGTTCAGGGGAGGGGATGAAGCCACGTCACACAGGTACAGGCCCATCCACAGAGCACACAGCCCAGGAGATGTTGTGTTAACCCCTCAGTGATGGCTATGGGAGGAGAGGGGCCACATCACACAGGTACAGGCCCATCCACAGAGCACACAGCCCAGGAGATGTTGTGTTAACACCTCAGTGATGGCTCAGGGGAGGGCATTAAGCCCCCTCAGGCAGGTGTGGAGCTCCCCCGGCCTGGGGCCCTCATGGTCCAGGTGGTCACCCTGTGAGTGTCCTGCAGGTGGGACTCCACCGGGAGCACGTGCAGCTCTGTGAGTCCGTGAGGCCTGGAAGCCCCAGTGCTCGGGCCTCTCCCGCAGGTGTTTACAGTTCACAGCTCATTCCTTCTAGCTCTGCTCCAGATGGTTCCCGAGGGGCTGCCTTTGACCTAAGTCATGTTGTCTGGAACATAGTTTGCAGAGGAGAGAGAACCACAGAGGTACAGGAGGGCAGATTCTGACGCAGAAGGTGCGAAGCTTGTTACGGCTACCCGCACAGGAGCCCCTTAGAGAGGAGGTTGTGGCAATGGGTCAGACACTTCGACCAGGCCATGTTTTCAGGATTTTTGATTCTGAGGACTTCCCTGGTCATGAGCGTGTCTGAGACCCTCAGGTGTGACACCTGTCCGACAGGATCCCTAACGACCCCGTGCTGCTGCTTCTCCTCCAGGCTTGACGGCAGTGGGCGGGCTGGCGCTGATGGGAGGACATCTGTACCCCTCCACCACCTCTCAGGGCCTTGCTGCTCTGGCGACGTTCATATCCTCGGTCAACATCGCAGGTAGGCTCCCAGGGGAGGCGAGAGAGTGGATTTTAGTGGGGATGTCGGAGAAAAGGGACAAGCCCTCCATCAAACACTATAAAATGGACATGCAGATTTTTAAAGTTTAATTTGGCGAAAAACAAAAGTTTCACTCAGACCGTAGATGTTCTTAATGAAGGAAGATCAGTTATTGTGTCTCTGTGTAGATGTTAAAAACTGTTTTAATAAAAGAGTACTCCATCCACATCCCCAGAACAAATAAGTAAGATGATGTCTTGGTCCCCGTTAATTGGAACGTTATTGAATACACGGGTTTAAAATAGATCAACTTGTAGCTGTCATTGTGACATCTACGATGCATATAATTTTAGATGAAACCTTAGACTTGGTCTTGTCCTTGACCAGTATGTGTTTTGAAATAAGCCTCACACCTCATTTGTGTTTGCAGCTCGTTTGATGGTGTTCTGTAGCCAAAACATCCTTCGAGTCCTGCAGAAATTGTTGGCTCTGTGTTCTGAGAGCAGAGTTTTCTTTCAGAAATGATTTAGGCCCCCCAGCTGCCTTCGGCCAGGGGCACTTTCCGTTTCTTCACCATTAACATGAAGTTGTACTTAATCACAGAGGGTGGAGGTGGACTTAAAAAAATCGGCGCCCTTTAAACAGTAGGCGCACTCCCCCCCTTTAACCCGTGTCTGTCCTTTCTTGGTGCAGGCGGCTTCCTGGTGACGCAGAGGATGCTGGACATGTTCAAACGGCCCACGGACCCCCCAGAGTACAACTACCTGTACCTGCTCCCGGCCGGCACCTTCCTGGGGGGGTACGCGGCCGCCCTCTCCAGCGGCTATAACATTGAAGAAGTAAGAGGCACTTCTGGAAGGTTTTGCTTATTTTTTCAGTTGTGTTAGCAGTCCCCTGGAGCTGTCCTGGTGGGCGAGAGTGCTGATCTGAGAGCGAGGACGAGTTTGCCTGCGAATGAAATGCGTGTGCAGACAAAGGTTCCCGTGGTCTCTAAGTTCCCCTCCAGCAAAGGAACTGTGGCGGTTCCTTTGTCCTCTTTCCAGGAGGACACAGCGGATGGTCAGTAAACAGTGCAGCGCTTTGACTAGTAAAAAGGATAGATCTCTTTTGTACTGTCCTCAGATCCCACCACAAGGAAGTCCCCTCCACCATGACCTCTGTTAGGGAGCTACTGTTACACCAACTTCTTATTGTTTAAAAAATTCTATTGTGGTAAAACGTACATAACAGAAAACTTGCCGATGTGACCATTTTTAAGTGTGTGATTCAGGGATATTAATCGCATTTGCCATGTGGTGCGGACATCATCATTATTTATTTCCAAGCGCTTTTCGTCACCTCAGCCGGGAACTCGGGAAGCCTCCAGTGGTAACTCCCCAGTCTCCCCATTCCCTGCGGCCCTTGGCAACCTCTCAGAAACTCTGGTGTGTTTGCCCTGTTGTATTCTCGAAGGTTCCTAGAAGTGGGCCCCCTTCAGATGCGTGTCCTTCCTGCACTGACGTGCTTTCCTGCACATACCGTTTCCAGAGTTCACGTCGGAGCCTGGTCGGAGATTCATTTCTCTTTATAGATTGTGCTGTATTTTGTCCATCTGTTGAAGACCAGCACAGTTTTAACATTTTTAAGAATCTGTGCTATAGGCAAACAGAGGCAACCAAGTTGAACTCTGAAAGTTCCAAGTGGAACTCTGAAAGTTCTGGGTTGCAGTGTCATCACACCAGAGCCCGAGTTCAGGAATTCAGAGTTGTCTTCTCCTTTTTTCAGTGACTGTTTGGCCATTGTAATCTCGGTGACGGCAGACATCAGAACACATGTCCTGATGCCTGCTGTGTCCTCGACGTTCAAGGAGCCACGGTGGCACAGACCCTGAAGCCTGCTCTGAACCACAGTGGCCCTGAAGTTGACTTTTTTGACTTGTACGTTCGTACATAGTAGCTCCAGTCAAGTTGAGGTCCACCTGTGTGCATTCATGTACGAAGGTCGAGTTCAGGAGAAGCCAGTCTTCATAGAGGGGACCTCACAATGTGCTGATATTCCCAGTGGTAGGAACGCATGTGGAAATGTTGAAGACCTCAGGTGCCTGACTGCTGTCTTCATTTGAAAGTGTCCCTGGAGGCTTCTGTCTCCCCATGCTGATAGCCACACGGTTGTGATAATCTCTCTCTCTCTCTCTCTCTCCCCTTTTCTTTGACAAGATCATGTACCTGGGCTCGGGGCTGTGCTGTGTGGGCGCGCTGGCTGGCCTGTCCACCCAGGGAACAGCGCGTCTTGGCAACGCTCTGGGCATGATTGGGGTTGCTGGAGGCCTGGCAGCAACCCTCGGAGGCCTGAAACCGTGCCCAGAGCTGCTAGCTCAGATGTCTGGAGCGATGGCTTTGGGCGGAACCATTGGTAAGCACATGAGGGCTTCTGCCTGGATTCAGCCCCTGCTGGGAACAAGCAAGGGCAATTAGGCTGAGATGTGTGCGTCACTCGTCAGGAATGAGGTCTTTCACTAGCACTTCTGCTTCTGTCTGAGGCCCGCGCTGATCAAAGCATTAGATTGCCTTAATAGACCTTTCCCCAGTCAGGATTACTTGGTAAAAACCCATCACTGTTGGCGGCACGGGTCTCCTTCAAATACGAATGCTTCAAGCATTGAGAAAGTGTACCAGCTGAGTACAAGGGTGTTACACACACCCCTCACCTGGTTCTCTACCTGGTCTGATTTGTTTCGATGGCTGCCGTAGGAGGAGGATTGGAATAGAAACATACATGCTGATATTCTGTCAGCAGCAGCAGATAATTCTGCCTCATAGACCTGTTAAAAACTTGAAGAGCCCGCGTGCTCGTAGAAAAGCCAGTCTTAATCTTTTAAGTAGTGTGCTGTGGCAAAATGGGTCTGTTTTTAGGAGTTTTGCAAGCTGGTAGTTAAGTATGCCGTATTAAAAGCTGAGAGTGAAGATGTAGACTGAAATGAATGACATTAGATGTGAAAGGTCTAATTCTTACAAGGCATCAGTTTCTCATAGGTGAATAGTTTATCGTCTGTGCCTCTGGCATTATTTACATCGGCTGTGTCTCACTGGTTGCCTGTGTGCAGTGACTTCACTTTGGTAGCTTGTGATTGGTCCAGGTGGATAGTGGACTGTTCATATCACCGTGAGAACAAATCTAAGCTAGATTTACTGTTCCCTTATTTATCTAGCCTTAAGGAAGTGAGGCAATTTAAACTTGAAAATATATTCTGTTACATTGTTTACATCTCAAAAAAAAATTTGAGTTGATGTTCTTTCAGAAATCTTAAGCAATCATCAGACTCCGCAAAGAAATCTCCCACGGTGACAGATGGTGACTTGAAGCTGTCACACGTGCCTTTGTTTCGTTTTCATCTTGTTAATGTAAACAGGAAAACATGCCGAAGTCAAAGAGCTGAACAGAAGATTTCTAAGGGCAGCTCGGGAGGACAAAGCAAAGTATTATAATGGAAAGTGCAGAGAGCTGGAACTGGAGAATAAAAAGGGAAGAACTCACTTTACATTTCTCAAGCTGAGAGAACTGAAAAAACTAAACTTCATGTGACAATATTGAAAGATGCTACCTGCAATATATTGATTGATCCAGAAAGCACCAAAAGAAGGTGGAGGGAATACATAGTCACTGTACCAGAAAGAACTGACTGACACTGAAAAATTCCAGGAAGTACCATATGAACAGGAGCCAGTGGTAATGAAGGAGGAAGTGGAGGCTGCATTGAAGGCATTGGTAAAAAATAAGGCCCCAGGAATCGATGGGATACCAATTGACTTACTTAAATTAACAGATGAAGCCTTGGATGCGCTCACCAGTCTACTGCAGGAAATTTGGACGACAGCTTTCTGGCCAGTGGATTGGAAGAAGTCCATATTCTCATTCCCAAGAAAGGTGACCCAACACAACGTGGAGGCTATCGAAAAATATGATTAATATCACATGCAAACAAGATACTGCTGAAGATCATTCAAAAACAGCTAGAACAGTACATAGGTAGGGAACTATCAGAAGTTCAAACAGGATTTAGAAGAGGCTGTGTGTCACCAGGGATATCACTGCTGGTGTCAGAGGGCTCCTGGCTAAAAGTAAGGCATACCAGGAGAATGACTATTTGTACTTATTTACTATGCAAAGGCATTTGATTGTGTGGATCATAACGAGCTGTGGTTGACGTTGAGAAGTCCCAGAGCACTTAATTATACGCATGTGAAACCTATCCCTAGACCAGGAGGCTGTTGTGCAGGCAGAGCAGGGAAACACTGCATGGTTTGGAATTAGGAAGGGAGTGTACCAGGATTGTATTCTCTCTCCATACCTATTCAGCCTGTATGCTGAGCAAATTACCTGGGAAACTGAACTCTATGAAGTGAAGTGTGGCATCAGGATCCGAGGGAGACTCATCAAAACCTGTCAGATGGTACAACCTTGCTCGCTGTGAGAAAGACTTGAAGCACTTGTTGTAGAAGATCAAGGAATGCAGTCTTCGATAATTGCATCTCAGTGTCAGGAAAACATTGGACTGGTAGGCAACGTCAATGGTGGATGGAGAGGAGATTGAAACTGTTAGTAGCTTCATCTTGGATCCACGGTTAACAGCCTTGGTACCAGTAGTCAGGAAATAAGGATACACGTTGCACTGGGAAAATCTGCAGTTAGGGACCTTTCCCAATTATTAAGGAGTAATGATGTAATTTTGAGGACATAGGTGCAATTGATTCAGGCCATGGTCTTTCTAATTACTTACTTTGCATCTGAGAGCTGTACAATGAATAAGGATGAAAGAAGAATTGATGCTTTTGAGCTGTGGTGCTGGAGAAGAGCACTGAACATCCCAGGGATGGCCAAACAAACAGATGTGTCTTGGAGAGGGTGCAGCCAGAGTGCTCTTTGGAGGCAAGAATGATGAGGTTTGCCTCACATACTTTGGGCATGTTGCTAGAAGGTGCTATTCCTTGGAGAAGGACATGGTGCTGGGAAGGGTGGAGGGTCACTGAAGGAGAGAAAGACCCTCAACCAGGTGGATTGACACAGTGACCACTGCAGTGGTCTCTTGTGTGTCAGGAAGTGTGAGGATGGCGCAGGACAGGACTGGGTTCTTATTTCCTCGAGTTATTAGGAGTCGTACTCGACTCGACAGCACCTAACAACAACAGCAACAATAACAAAGCAACAACAATGGAAGTAAAAATAGCTGCTGACATTCATGTGGAAACGACAGTTATTTATCAGTCTGACAGAGACAAGAAGTTGGCAAAAAGATTGACAGAGCATTCCCTGAAACTCGACTGGCCAGGTGGACTGTCCTTGTCACCTGTGGTGTTTAGTTTATTATTATTGGACAGTCTTGTACTATACGCCTTTTTGTTGGTTAGAATGTGTTTATACCAGCAGATTTCTTCCCCGAGAGAGCTTAAACAGTTAGCAGTTATTGTGTGGTTAGACAATTCCCAGCACACCATTTCGTCCTACGCTGTTGAGACTTCCCTTGAAAAGCTTGACTTCCTCTCTTGACACCCTCTTGCAGGGCCCTCAGGACAGGCTGTGTCCTCTTGTAGCGTCTCCCTGTAGCCATGACACTTCTTCCAGAGCCTTCCAGACTGGAAGATTGCCAGCCAAATCCTTTCCTTTCTTTTTTTAAAACTGGTGGACCCTGCTCCCAGTGGCCCTCCGGGAAGCCCAGTCCTCTTCGTATTCGCTCTTGCGTGGTCAGGAGCTAGTGACTGTAGCTAAGGCGGGTTTGTTGTTCAGTGGAAGGATCCCTGGGGAAGGTGATGGGGTGTAGAGCAGCTGGAGGACGTGTTACGTGAGGGGGTCTGGACGGCGTGAGGGGACGGGGAAGGTGATGGGGTGTAGAGAAGCTGGAGGACGTGTTACGTGAGGGGGGTCTGGACGGGGTGAGGGGACGGGGAAGGTGATGGAGTGTAGAGCAGCTGGAGAACGTGTTACGTGAGGGGGTCCTGGACGGCGTGAGGGGACGGGGAAGGTGATGGGGTGTAGAGCAGCTGGAGAACGTG